ATGTTAAATTTGTTTAGGTAAGATGTTAAACAGTTTTTAATAATTTTTTCAAATATTTTTGAAATATGTGTTATCAAAGAAATTGGTCGATAATTATTTACATCTGAAACATCTCCTTGTCTGTAAAGTGGGACAATTATTGATTTTTTGAAGTCAGTCGGATAATATACTCCTTTTTTAATTCATTCGTTAAAAATATGTTTTAACGGTTTAGTGATAAAATCGGTTATTAATTTAATTGTTTCAGTTTTTATATTATCAATACCTACCTACAGCTTTCTAATTTTTTTAATACATTTATTATATTTTCTATTTCAGGTTCTTCTACAGAAGCAAAGACAAATGAGTTTGGGACGTAGTTTACGTAAAATTTATGATTATGCCTGATTATGATTATGAACCAGGACTGAGATTATTACCCCACCTTGACCTTTGTAGAACTGTTGTGGCTATTCCTTCATCGTTGGTTACTCTTATTTTGTGTTTTGTATGTTTTGTAATAGACTATAGGAAGTAGCTTTCTTCTGCAGCTTTGTGTTCCTGTATTTACAACTAATTCTAATAAATCTAGGTACAACAAATAATTATTCGCAACATGTCAGAGCCTTCAGTTCTTCATAGCCAACAATGTTGGATAAATATAGAATTTAACCAATATTAAAAGTTTAAGGCATGTGACGATGTAATAGAACCCAGTAAATATCGTACCTCTTGGGTTAGTTATTGAAAATGGTGGCTTGGACTAGATTATTTGATGTTAGACGTCAGGTGGGGCTGTATTGAATAGGTGCGAGGTCGAACCAGGGTAAAGGATGTAAAAGAGGAGATAATAAAAATATGTAAAATGAAAATTAACTACATATAATAGTAGAAACATTAAATATAGACACCTTGAGAAAATAAAAGAGGAAGGTCCTAAATCAAGATGAGGTCAGTCGATCTGTAAAGACCTGCTGGTGTAAGATGCATGAACTACAAATTTAAATGAGTAGAAGCTAATTGAGGACGAAATGAAAAGATTAATGCTCTTCTGAGCTTGCAAGACAAGACTCTCAGGCTAGCAGATCGGTCCCTTCATTGACGTTATTTTTTTATTTATTTATTTGGGTCACACCATCCAACAGTATAAAACCAATTACAGGATGGGCACAAAAATAATAACAATTACAGTATAATTTACATCATAAAAATAATAACAAAATATTACATATTAATAATAGTATAAATATAAATATATATAAACAAAAACTCCGTTAGGAGAAAAAATTACGTTGTTTTATGATAATTAACTCAATCCACAACTAAGCGCTTTATTTCTTTAATTAAAATAGAAAATAAATGAACATCATTTTGATGCTCACAAAAATTTTGATACAAGAAATACATTGGAGAAAATTTTAAAATATTTGTCCTGGGACTCTGAAAATAGAAATACAAAGGGGAGCGAGGAACATTAAACATTTGTAAAGAATGTAGATGGAATAACATTTCCTGCAAGTACGTAATTCAAGGATATTGTCACAAATTCCAAATAATAAATATTTTCCAAATTTTATAAATTCACATTATTTAATAAATTCACCTAACATAGGACATTTACCTCTATTTCAAATTTCAGTAATATAATAATTTGGTAATAAAATACTTTTATTCTCAAGCAAATTAATGTAAATAATTTTTTAGTCTTTATAAGATATTTCCTTTCATGTTAAACAATAATAAAATCTGTTCATTTTGCTGATTTAACAATTTGTTATGTGTAAAAATCAAATAGGTGAATTAACTGGAAAAAGATGCAAAATCAGCAGATGAGTCTTGAAGGTAAATGTTCTGACAAGAAAGATTCATTCAGGTTAGGCCTGGGTAACAGTAAAGAGCTCAGCTCTACTATTATTTAAAAAATAAAAATTTCAAGTAATAAAATAAAATAAACTAATAATTAAGTAGTTTGAGAGTTCGTGAACGTGCCCCCACAGGGAAATTTAATGTGGTAAGAAATAATAATTTTTTAGTTATTTTGTCAAGTAAACTTATATTTTATGTTTGGTTCCTAGTTTATCTCCCATTTATATTTTTTGTGTATGTAAATAATAACTATTGGGTATGTTAATAAATATTTTTTATAATTAGTAATTTTAATTCTTATTCCTTAAGCAGTAAATAAATACCCCTCTCCAGGTTGTATTTTGGGTTGAGCGGACTTTATTCAAATTTTGGGAAAGTCCGGGCTACTCAGAATATAGCGTGGCGAGCTAGAGCTCGTGGTGGCATCGTCAGATAAAATCTGAGCTACAATACCCCCTAGGCTGACGACTACCCCGTGACAATATCAAATCTATTCAGCAAGATGGTTTGCGGAATATTGCGAGTAGGGTAGACGCCATCTAGCTTGCATCACAAATATTTGACAAATTTTCGTTGAATTTTTTCTAATGCCTGACTATGTACTTCATATCCAGGACTCCAAACAATGGACGCATATTCTAGTTTACTACGTACAAAAGCGTTAAAAATAGTTTTTAAAGTATTAGACTCAGAGAACTGGCGTCCATTTCGAATGACAAAAACCCAAATTTATGAATGCTTCTTTCTGAATAGTATTGACATGTTCAATAAAGTTTAACTTAGCGTCGAAAAGAACACCAAGATCTTTAAAAGAAAGACATTTATTGATGTTAATATTATTGACAGTAAAATTATACTCAATCGGATTTAGTTTACGAGTGAAGCTGATAAAATTGCACTTAGATATGTTTAGTGATAAGTTGTTAGAGTTACACCAAAGGTTCAATTTATTTAGGTTCTCCTGTATAATTAAACAGTCATCAATACTGGAGATTGATTTAAACAATTTGAAATCAGCGGCATAGAGTAGAATATTACCTGATAGGTTTTCAGTAATGTCATTTACAAAAATGGAAAATAAAAGTAGTCCTAGAACTGAACCTTGAGGGACACCGGAAGAAGCTGTTATACAAATTGACTGAAAACCATGGTATTCAACTTTGAATTTACGATTAATTAAATATGATTCAAAGAAACGCCGAAAAGACGTAGTGAGTCCAACAATGGAAAGCTTGTTCAAAAATATACTATGATAGAGGCGATTAAAGGCCTTGGAAAAGTCAGTATATATAGCTTCAACCTGGCCACCCCTTTCAAGATTTTCCGCAACATATTGTGTAAAGCATATCAGATTGGTTTCTGTGGATTTGCCTGGAAAAAGCCGTGCTGTGCCATAGATATAATCGATTTTACATGAGCGAAAAGTATTTCATAAATAACATTTTCAAAAACTTTTCCAAAATTGCAAAGGATGAATATAGGTTTGTAGTTTTCTATGATAGATTTGGATCCTTTCCTAAAGACTGGACAGATTTTAAATATCTTCCAATAATTTGGAAAATTCCCTTCTCTTAAGGACATATTAAAGACCATGGTTAAAGGTTTGGCTAAAATATTTGCACAATCTCTTATTAAAAATTCCGGAATATAGTATTTTTAGGTTTCAATCTTTTGAGACCTTTAATGACATCTTCTTCTGTAAGTAACGGAATGTTACAACTGTTAATATTAACAACATTATCTAGTTTAGACATATCAATTTTAGACGAATTAGTGTACGATGACTAAAAATATGTAGCAAATGCATTGACAATGTCTTGTGAATTATTTAAAGGATTATTATCAAAAGTCATAACATTTGGTATACTACTGCAGTTTTTCCTTGAATTTATATACTGCCAAAAATAATTGGGGTTAGAACATATTCTATTCTCAATATTTGTCAAATAATTCCTGTAATTTATTGAAATGTCGCGTTTAATTTTTGACCTAAGAATACTAAACTCTGTATAAATTTTAGCCTCTAGTGTCCTTCTAAACAAACGATAAAGAGATAATTTTTTTCTCAAATCCGAGATCATACTTTTATTAAACCAAGGAGGGTATTTTGAATTGCACCTTGGTGCAGTTTTTGGTACATTAGCGGCAAATGCGGAATTTAAGATAGAATAAAACAAATCACAAGTCTCCTCAGAAGTTGCGCATGCATGTAAACTACTCCCAATAATTCTACAGATACTCTGGTAGAGTTGAGGAAGATTTGCCTTTTTGAAATTATAAGATAATTTACTAGACATAGCAAAACTGGTATTTATTTGAGAAAAAGACAGACGAAATTCTAATGAAGGATGTAAAATATCTTCGTCAACTAATGGATCAAGTGAACGATTTACAGCGATGTCAGATATACTAAAGATTAAATCGAGCAAACGGTTATTAAAATTAAGAGTATTATTATATTGTCTTAAAGCTAATAATTCGGTAAAATTATAAGTGCAACTATACTAGCATTTTTAAAAGTAATGTCATTACGACTAGAATGATAATGTGGTATATTAAAATCCCCTAATATTAACAGTTCTTCATCATTGTTGCACCATTCGTAATTACAAAAAACATCATAAAAGACATGGTATATATCATTACTAGTAGAGGGAGGAATATAAAGTAATATAACATACAGATTGCTATTCGAGACTGAAATTTTTAAACCAAGTACGTCAATAGAAGGAATAGAAGTACTCAGTTCAGAAAGATCTAGTCTTAAGGCATTGTATTTTTTCTTTAAAGAAATTAACACACCTCCCCGTTAGTAGTATTGGTAATATTAAAATTTCTGTCAGAACGAAATACTACATAATTTTCAAAAAATAATTCAGAGTCGTACACAGAAGAACTCAACCAAGTTTCTGACAGTGCTAATAGGTCATGGTTACATTCGACGGAATTATTGAACAGTTTTGCAAGTTTTGTGAGTTTTGTGTTTAATCTTCTAACATTCTGGTAAAGTATACTGTTTATGTTGGCTAGTATCAGAAATGCTTGATAATTGCTACAATGACATTAAAGAGTTTTTGTAATATTCAAGTTTTTTCTGATAAACAGGGCACTTTGAATGATCCCAAGCAAAATGTTTAACATCAAAAGTTTTAACATTAATACATAATACATTTTTTCATTTCAACGGGACAATCTTTAAATTGATGTGGTCGAGAACATTTAGGGCAAGCAATATTTTTTAAACACGACCCTTGGTTATGACCGAAGCCGCTGCACTTATAACACAATGTGATATCTATAGCATCAAACACTGAACATACATCCCAGCCAACAAAAAGACTTTGAAGAGACATTGCTTTCACATAAGTTTCGGCATCAATTTCTAGAGTTGTTTGATGCATCTTATCATTTTTCTTGGTAGCCCAAATTTTTACAACGCTGCAAACTCTGGACGATTGAATGCCATCATTTTGGTACTTAAGTAACGAAATAAGTTCGTCAGGTTCATGCTTCTCAATCATTCCAACTATTCTAATTTTTGGATTTCTACTTTTAATATCTTTTACTTCGTAAGCATCTGATAATTTTGGGTTAGCTGCATCTTCAAATTTAGGTGCGTCTTCATTCTTACTACACCCAACAAGTATTCTGTCATCTCTAGTATTCTTAGCTTTTGAAACTTTTATATTTAGTTCAGTGGGATTAATATTGCTCATAATATCAGATAAATCGGTCGAAAATGAAAAAAGTTTTTAAACTACTTTGTACCACCCGCGTTATTTGCTTAGATCTAGTAATAAAACGTAGAAGACGAGGATGGCTAGAAGTGTACCTTTTCTTTATATCCGTCACGTACATCGGACGAATAGGGGATAGTTGTAATTTCAACCCCTGATCGAAATGCACGTTTCTCAGCCGACAGTCGAATTTAGTTGAAGCTCTTGAATAACAGTGGATCCGGTGGTGCAACGGGCAATTACGATAAACAACTAGGAACAATTTCCGATAATTGAAATGTTCCGCAATTGGATTTTATTCTTTTTTTTATTTATTTATCGAAAATTGTACCGATTTATAATGATTTACTGAGATTTATTTGGTATTACATTTTTAAAGTTTTCCTTTTACAAAATGTTAGTTGAATGAGTTTTAGATGGATGGGCTAACTCAGATCGGTGCGAGGATTTATTACACTTGCATCCCATCTATAGGAGTTTACTTGTACAAGGTGTTTCAAATTAATTCAGCAAAATTTTAACGGGTTATAGAACTGACAAAAATAAGTACAGTAAGTTTAATGAACATACAATCAAAAAGACCAGTTGGGCGTGAGTTAGTAAAAATATGTTATTTTTTCTTTATTTTGCATAGTCCGTTATAGGATTTGACCTATCGTATCAATAAGAAAGTGTTACTACTAAAAAATTTACTGTGGCTGTAAAACTTTTTACTGCTACTGTTAGATTGTCTAACAATTGTTAGATATGTTACTAGGACTGTAAACTAAGTTTTACAGTCTAAATTCTTACCGTGGCAGTAATATTTTTTTACTATTCCAGTTAGAAATAGAATTACTATTATTCGTATTACCAACAAAGTAAATCTTTCTTACCGAATCAGTAATTTTTATTTCTACCGCAGTTAGACCTTTACAAGTAATATTTTTATAACTACCCCAGTAAAACTAGAAAACTGAATCTGCAAAATAGTATTATTTTTCTAACAAGTACAGTAGAACAGGTTAACAATAAATGTACCGAACTTTTACGATTAATGGCGAAGAATTTGCCGAAGTCATTTCTGGCTTCAATTATTGAGCGATCTTCGACCATATTGTCTTGCACAGTCGTCGAGTTGAGTCCAATTTGGGTCTGCTGGTCTGCAACCGTAAACATTTTTGATATTATTTCTGTGCGCAGAAATAATCTTAAAAATGTGATGGTGTCATACGGGCTTTATTTCATTTTTTAAATTTGGAATATAAAAAAGGACATTTTTATATTTCTAGTGCAATTACACTAATCGAGTTCCTAACGTGCATTTCATTGCCTCAGTGAAAAATAGTGCAAGTGCAACAGTTGTAAGTCATAATAAACCTTAATAACCTTTAAAATTTACATCAATCTGCCAGCAAATCCGAAAAATTTTATCGACAAGTTTCTGTTATCACTGCACAAAAAGTAGCTGGCAATGTCGACCTGTGCTAATTGCTTTAAGACGATTTCAGATCGCGAATCTACGAAGCCCCAGTGCGATGGGTGTACATTTTTCATGCATTTGAACTGTACTGATTTTAAAGCCGATGATCGTGTCACTCGCCAAAAACTTCGATGTATTAAAATAGTTTGTAACCGTTGCTCCTCAATCGTAGATCAGTTTGGTGAAATTAAGGATATCCTAGAGACATTTAAAATAAATATTGATAAAAAGGTTGATTCTTTTGATGAAAAACTTAAAAGTATACAAAATAATATCGAGTCATTCAATAATCAGCTATCAGAATTTAAGGACCAAGTTAAAAATTCTGAATCACTTCGTTCTCCTGAATTTATTGAAACTGTTACTGCAGAAGCAGTTGATAGAATGCGCCGTGCCAAGAATATTCTAATTCGCGGGATCGCAGAGGCCCAAGGAGACAGCGCTGTGAAGAAAGAACACGATAAAGAAGAACTCGATTTGGTACTGAGCTCGGTCGGTTCAACAGCCGAAATGGTTTCTTTTTATAGAATTGGAAAACCAAATTCTAACAATAAAAACCCTCGAATGATTAAAGTCACTTTTCAATGCGAATCTGATGCTAAATTTATTCTTCGCTCGAAACATAAACTGACGGAAAATAATTTAACCAAGGATTTTAGTATCACCGATGACAAAACTCAGGCTCAAAATTCATACCTAAACGAACTTAGAATGAATTGGAAAATAAAAATCGAAATGCCACTGACGACTGGACTATCAAGTACCTTAATGGATCACCAAAGATCGTACAAAAATTTCAGCATTAACTGGTTCAACTTTAAATTTCAATGATTGGCTCTTATTGTACACAAATTTAGATTCTCTTCCCAAAAAATTCAATGAATTTATTTGTCTTATTCAATCTGAAAAACCGGACCTTATTTTAATTACCGCAACGTGGCTCAATATAAAAATTTCAGACAGCTTAATCTCTATTCCTAATTACCAGATTTTTAGATATGATCGAATTGATAGACGAGTATGTATATATGTAGTTCAACATATCTTAGACTGTTTTACAATCTCATCTGTAGATATCTCCGTTCCTCGTATTGATTCTCTTTGTTTGCAGCTGCAACATCTCAATTGCCGTATTACTCTTGCAGTTATTTACCGTCCGCCAGACATACCTGTTGCTACTGACGCGGCCTTGCTAACAAACTCGATGTCTTAAGTGGTTCTGAAAATCTGATTATAGTAGGTGATTTTAATTTTCCAGACATTAAATGGCCAATTACTTCTATACCTGACACGCAAAATGTTACCAATCAGTTCGTGGAATTTATCCACAATTCTAGTTTTGTTCAACTAATAACCCAACCCACGAGATTTAGAATAAATCAGGAACCTTCTACCCTCGATCTACTACTTACCAATGATGAACAACTCTCCCACCAGTTGGAATATCTGATCATGCAGTCATAACGTGCCGCTTACAATTTCAATCATTCTCTTCCTGCACATCAAATCACACTATCTTCTCACTCACAAACTTTGCTGAAGTTTTTTCCTCTAGACCAACTAGACTGAATTAATATTATCCCTGAAAACAATGATCCGAGCTGCATGTGGAATATCTTTCAAAATACAGATATTGATTGTGTAAAATCTCATACTAAAAACAAAATAAACAGAAGAACAAATCTGAAACCCTGGATAAATAATCAACTGCTGTCTAAGGTAAAACATAAGAAACACCTATGAAAAAAATTTAAGCGAACCACCAATATGAACGATTTCTCTGCTCATCGGCTATTCTCCGCAGTTATCGAAGCAAAGTTTAACTATCAGAAGTACATCGCGAACTGTGATGATAGCAAAAAGTTCTATAAATCTGTCATCCAAAGTGTCCGTACCTCTTCTACAAAAAGAAAATGGAGATAAGTGTGCCAACAATACTGAATCTGCTCAACTTCTTTCTGACACCTTCTGTAATGTCTTCACATTTGAAAATATGACATCATCACTTCCGGATATTTAACTAAACAAAATACAGGCCTTTATTTCCAAAGTATCGTTTGACCCAGACATAATAAAAAAAAACTTAAAATGCTTAAGTCCAACTCTTCATCAGGCTTAGATGGTATATCCTCTCTTCTTTTAAAATCTTGTGCTGACACTCTCTGTTATCCTATTTCCCGTATAATGACTTCCTTCTTTAATTCTCACATCTTGCCATCTATATGGAAGACCGCGTCAGTGACTGCCATATTCAAAAAGGGCAATAAGCCTGACCCAAATAAATATAGACCGATAAGCCTTGTACCAATAGTTTGTAAAGTAATGGAGTGTGCCTCGTACTCAAAAATCAGTAGGACAACGATCGTATTTGTATTTAGGTCCAAAATTATATAATACTCTCCCAGTCGACATAAAATGTAATACCTTGTCCATATTTAAAAATAATTTAAATTTTTTTATCAAAAATGAGAAAATGGAGGTAATAAATAATATTCTTTTAATTAACTGATATTTATTTGCGTTTTGGGTGATCAAAATTTCGATATCTTTTTAATTAAGTGTAGGTATTTTGATTGTGTTTGTCTCCTATATAAAATATCTAAAATGTATATATATATTTTTTTCTGTAATGCATAAATTTTATTATGTATGTATATATTTGTTTATATTTTTTATATTTATATTTTTTATGTTCATATTTTTTCTCAAAACAAGTGCGTTATTGGCACTTATTGAGTATTATTATTTATTTATTTATTTGAAATTATTGTTATATTACTTTGTAACTTATGATATTTTTTTTTTTTTTTGAATAAATATTATTATTAAGACAATTTCGCGTAAGAGTTGGTAATAGTTTCTCTCAAACCAAATCTGTTGTCAGTGGAGTGCCTCAAGGATCAGTCCTTGGTCCCCTACTTTTTCTATTATATACTGCCGATATTTCTATGCACATAAAAAGCTGTTGCTCCCTCTACGCAGACGATACAAAAATAAGTGCGGTATCAAAGTGGAGTTTAGACTGGTTATTACCGCTAAACGTTGATAAATGTGTTGTTCTTCATATCGGTAAAAACAATCCTAAATTAGTGTATAATATTAATAATAATGCCTTAAAGACAGTATCGTCCCAAAATGATCTCGGCGTTATCATTACTAAAGACTTAACGTGGTCAGAACATATATTATCAGTAAGCAAACAATCAAACTCTCAACTATTCTTATTATAAAAGACTTTTGGCAATGTTTCTCCCTCAACAATTTTAAAAATATACGCAACATATGTTCGTCCTCGCCTGGAGTACTGTGGTCCTGTTTGGTGTCCTGTATTAATTTCGGATCAAAAGAGGTTGGAAAATGTGTGTGTCTCCTTCTTTCTAATACGACACCTAATGCGAGAGCTCTGAGCTCTGTCTGCGTAATATACTCGTAAAACATAATTTGAATGATTGCAATACATATGGGCCTAATAATTATGAATGAATGGATTAGTCTAGTACTATTTTCTAATAGATTTTTTAGAAACTATTTTGGAAAGGCAATAGATAACACATGCTTTAGGCTTCTGCTTTAGCTCACGTACTTATGTTTAGCAGATTACAATGTTTCTTATTTTTTGCTGACACAAGGAGAGGGGATACAGAAAATTTTTCATAAAGTAGAAAATAAATAATTTCATTATTATTATAAAAAAATTCATTATTGGTAATATTGCTTTAACTTATAGATTGAAAGTATGACGACATCTGATGAAAAGTAAAATATACGCAAGCCAACAATGACTCTTAGAAAGTGAGAAACGTCAACATTGTAAGGTTGTAAATAAAACCTTAAAAATAAACAGCTACCTACATTAGTCCATCAAATTAATGAGTTTTATATATATTTCGAGGAACTTTACATTTATCTTGATTATATTGATAACAATCTATTTCAAATACTATGAAAACATACTTCTGAATGTAAGAATAATGATTTTTATACACGATTGTGACACGCCTTATTTTGATGAACGACGAACGCAATTATATTTTTGATAAGTGGATAAGGTCGTGTTCATTAAGTTAACTGTACTTATTTTTGGACGTTTGAATGTTCTATAAACAACGGCATGAATGCAAATACTTTAACAGGTAATAGTTAAGATCAAACTAATTAAAAAATCCTTATTAATTTAAATAGTAATTATTTTTACAAACGATTTCCTTGTCTTTATCCGACACTCAAGTAATTTATGTGATAGTTCTGGTCAAAATATTATATTAAGGTGTCAAAGTCTGTATGATATAAAATAGAATTAAAATTTATTCAAATTTTCAGATATTTTTAATTATACAATTCACAAAAATATGTAGGTACATATTGATGGTAGTCTTTTCGAACGGGTTCGAATTATTTTGTGAATTACTGAAAGAATTGTTTTGTGTATTATTATTGGAATTTAATTTTCTATTATAATTTGTCTGATATCCCATGTGTCCAATTCATCCTTGTTTCATTAAACACACTCGCATGGGAAATTCATATAATAAAATATTGAAAAAAACAAGAAATCTGGACACCGAACTTACGAATGATTAATTCTAATTTTATACTCCCTTCTTTATCTGAAATGAAAAATTTCGATGTTCCATTGATTCACGAGATGTATTGAATTTCCCTAGCCGGAGGACCGGAAGATAAAATTGAGATGAATTCAATTTATACGAAATTAGGATTCAGGAAGTCGAGGTACTTCGAAAGACGTATTGTACAGGTTATTGGATTACTACAACTACCGATTGTACGCATTATATTGTTGATAATAATAAGACATATAGACATTCTAAAGTTTTTTTTTTAACATTTCACTATTTGTAACTCATGGAAGTTCAAAGAAAAATATTTAAAACATTTTTTTACCTGGACTGCGACAGATTTTTTTGTGAATAGGTATATCAAAAAATGTGCCTATGTCTTTCATTTTAGAATTGTTTATTTTGAAAAAGCATTTAATAAAAATAATAGAATCAATTTTATTATATGTATTAAAAAATTAAGAAATATAATATTACTTTTAACATAATATATTTAGTTATAAGTAATTTTACTACAAGAGAGCACACAATAAGGCTGCATTAGCAATATTTCAAAATAAACTACATCGGAACATAATTAATTATCCACGCTATACCCATTAACCATTAGATCCTTAACAAAGCAGGATATCGCTGTGCCAAGATGCTTGAAACAAGACTACAACCATCCAACTACAAAAGCATTACAAATTCTAGTAGTCAGCAAATTGAAAACAAGAAGCTCTTCAATATTTAGTTATAAATTGTTAAGTGGTAAAAGGCAAGCGTTCTGCTAGAAAACAATCTATCATTAATCCTTAAAACCAGTTTTAACGCCATATTTCAAAATACACGGCGATCCAAGTTGCTATTAATTTATACACAAAAAAAAAAAATTTTTTCTACAATACAATAATAATTCAAAAAATGTCCTAGAAGACCTTCATCCTGTAGTCTTTTAACAAATTTTAAATTTTATAGTAAAAAATCGGTTATAGATATTAAAGTTCCCAAATAAATTATAAAGTTACCCTACGAAATAATGAAAATCATTTTTAAACTCCCATAGTGGAAACAAATTTAATGAAAAATTGAAAAAATTCTATGGGTCATTTGAACCCGCATATTCGTGTTCTACGTATACTACTTTAACAATTCAGCCATTAGAACATATGTCCTAGACATCCAAATTGTTAATTTGTTTATAATATTTTGAATCCAACCTCGGTAACAGACAATTTCCAATTTTTCAACAAACTATCAATCAGCATCGTATAGAAAAACATGCTATGTGCATGCAGACACTTCCCTGGGTCGTTTGTGTGTATTATGTGAGTATTATGTGTGTATTATCAGAGACAACCGAGACTGTTATCTTAATAGGAAAATTTATTCGGTAGACCATTCAAATTACATATATGGCTTTGCTTCTTGTAGTATAAAGTGTGTGGGTACGGGGCAGTAGCCACAACCTAACTGTCAATGGTCAAGAAGTGAGGTTGGGATTGGGTCAGGAGAACGAGCAACGAACATGACCTTTGTAATATGATTGTATCGAAATTGTTAATAAATGTTCAAGTGGATCTAGTAGTTTAAATACACAATAGTGGTGACGAGGATAAAAGCCCTAGGTTACAGCAGTATCAAAAAAAAAGTTAAAATTATTAGTCAAGTCAGGGACAAAAGAAAGAAGGACATTTTACATTTTACACCAGTCAAGTCAGTCAGTGTAGAAAGGTATAAGTTTTATAAAAGAATACACAGGGAGGAAGAGTCAATCACAGAATTTATAGTAGCACTAAAGAGTCTTGCAGCGACCTGCGAATTTGGAGTTTTCCTCAACGATGCCTTAAGAGATCGACTAGTTTGTGATCTGTTGGCAGAGTCGATAATAAGATCATTATTGTCAGAAAGTGATCTAACGTTTGAAAAGGCTTGTCAAATAGTCTTAAGCAAAGAGTTATCCTCTAGTGAATCAAAAGTAGTCCTACACCATGGATCAGCGTACAAGTTACAATCAAGCCATAATTCCAGTACAACTGTGGAAACCAAGAAGTCAAAGCCTATATCGTCAGGAACACGAGGAAGTCAAGGTGGTCAGTCTAGGTGAACGTTTTCACAATCCCGAAACATGCCCTGCTAAAGAATGGGTCCACACGTCCAGAGTCTGCAGTAGTCGTCGACTCAAGAGGGTTGAAGCACAAGAAGAGTTTAGAGACAGAAGAAGAGGATAAAGTAGGAAGTTCATAAGCTAAATAGTCTTAGCATCAAGTTGTTATTTTGTAGTTAAGTCATTCCTGTAATGGTCGAAGGAAAAAAGTACATATGGAAGTCGACACAGGAGCAAGTGTAAGTGTAACGTCAAAAGGTATGTTTGAAAAACTATATCCAAAAAATGAGGGGTCAATCTTGTAACTCATCCATAAATTCTGTATCAGGGGATAAACTGACAGTAAAAGAAAAAATACATGTAAATGTCAGAAAAAATTCTCAAAATTTTGAGTTACCATTAGTCACAATAAGGTAAAATACTGTCGGTAAACCATTGTTACGTCGCAACTGGATTAATAAAATAATATCTAGCTGGAGGTCAATTTTCACAAATTGTAACCCTTGGGATAATAATAATACGGTTGTAAGATCTATAGGGGAACATAAATCCTTAAAAGTCAAGAATGTTATCGAAAAATTTAAGTCACAATATTCAAAGGTTTTTAATTATGAAACTAAAAGTCACATTGAAAATTTTGAAGCTAATCTAGTAGTCAATGGGAATAAGAGTCTTTCATAAACCATATAGTGTACCATTTTCACTTAGGGAAAAGGTGAATGAACAACTGAAAGAGTTGGTTCATGAAAATATATTAAAACCTGTAAAACAGTCGCCAGTCCAATTGTAAAGAAGAATATGCGGAGATTTTAAAAAACCCTGAACCCCATTTTAAAAATTGATCATTACCCACTATGTTAGAGCATATGTTTTTCAATGTGTCAGGGGGAGTTTTATTTACAGTTTTAGATTTAAAAAAACGCGTATTTACAATTGCCAGTCAATAAAAAAAGTCGGGAATAATTAACCATTAATACTCCTTTTGGGTTATTCTAATATTTCAGGTTACCCTATGGAGTATTTGGTAGTCCTGCAATTTTTCAGTCAGTCATGGAAGAAGTATTAAAGTGGTTGAAATTTGTTGGGGTTTAATTAGACGATGTATGGGAGTATCGATTTTTTTGTTCTCTTTGAAGTTAGAAGCAGGAAAATTGGAATTGCAGCTACTAAGAACAAATTAATAATAATGTGTTTTAGGGTTTTTATATTTTTACATCTTGAAGAGCGCAAACGGGGGGTGAAAGTTTGTATGAGAGTATAAATTTTTTTGTTCTCTTTGAAGTTAGAAACATGAAATTTGGAATTGCAGCTAATGAGTACAAATTAATAATGACGTATTTTAGGGTCATTGGATTTTTACATTTTAAGGGGGGGAACGAGGGATGAAAGTTTATTTAGAAATATCGATTTTTTTTTTAAAGGTAGGAACTTGAAAATTGGATTTGTAGGTTCTCATCATAAATAAATAATGAAATGTTTCAGGGTTTTTACATTTTAACATTTTAAGGGGGGAAATGGAGGGTGAAAATTTGTTTAATAGTATGTATATATTTTTGAATTACAGCTACTGATTAAAAATAAAAAATGATGTGTTTCATGGTTTTTGGATTTTCTCATTTTAAGGGGGGAAAACGGGGGTATAAATTTGTATAGAAGTATACATTTTTATTAACATTGGAACTTGAAAATTATAATTGTAGCATAAATAAATAATGACGTGCTCTGTGGTTTTTAGATTTTTGAATAGTAGTATCATAAAAATAAACTAAAATTAAAAAAAAAATAATAAAAATTTATAAAAATAAATAAAAATTAATAAGAATAATTAAAAAATAAATAAAATTGAATAAAAATTAATAAAAATTATTAAAAATTGATAAAAATTAATGAAAATTAATAAAAATTAATAAAAAATAATAGAAATTAATATAAATTAATATAAATTAATAAAAATTAATAAAAATTAATAAAAATGAATAAAACTGAATAAAAATGAATAAAAATGAATAAAAATGAATAAAAATGAATAAAAATGAATAAAAATGAATAAAAATGAATAAAAATGAATAAAAATGAATAAAAATGAATAAAAATGAATAAAAATGAATAAAAATGAATAAAAATGAATAAAAATGAATAAAAATGAATAAAAATGAATAAAAATGAATAAAAATGAAAAAAAAAAATGAATAAAAATGAATAAAAATTAATAAAAACGAATAAAAATGAATAAAAATGAATAAAAATGAATAAAAATGAATAAAAATGAATAAAAATGAATAAAAATGAATAAAAATGAATAAAAATGAATAAAAATGAATAAAAATGAATAAAAATGAATAAAAATGAATAAAAATGAATAAAAATGAATAAAAATGAATAAAAATGAATAAAAATGAATAAAAATGAATAAAAATGAATAAAAATGAATAAAAATGAATAAAAATGAATAAAAATGAATAAAAATGAATAAAAATGAATAAAAATGAATAAAAATGAATAAAAATGAATAAAAATGAATAAAAATGAATAAAAATGAATAAAAATGAATAAAAATGAATAAAAATGAATAAAAATGAATAAAAATGAATAAAAATGAATAAAAATGAATAAAAATGAATAAAAATGAATAAAAATGAATAAAAATGAATAAAAATGAATAAAAATGAATAAAAATGAATAAAAATGAATAAAAATAAATAAATAAAAATTAATAAAAATGAACGAAAATCAATAAAACTAATAAAAATTAATAAAAAAAGGAAGTAAAGTTGTTTTTTTATATTAATAACACGACTACATGCGAGCAAAGTCACGAGCAAAGTCGCGAGCAAAGTCGCGGGCAACAGTTAGTATCTCATAAACAAATAGAGATATTTGATTGAAATTTTGGTAAGATATATCACAATTGATGTCTATTATGTGTACATGGTGTACAGGGTGTCCTAGACTAATTATTCCAGGCTATTATTCCATACTATTTTTTAGACATTTTAATATGGCGTAGAAAGAATCATGTTCTAAATATTTAACCCTTATCAAAAACCCCCACCCTTAAAAATTTTAATATCACTCTGTATATATCTTAATAATTTTGAAAATAATCATCTACCCAATCTCTTTTTGAAAATTGTAATTTTGAATGAAAATTTTAATTTAAACAGTGATGACTAATAAGAGGAAATTATATTCTTTGATAGGAAATACCAATGAACTTTTAAACATTTACGACAAAATAGTAATTATTATTAAAAACAAACTCTATAATGTTGGTTTACATTCCTAAAATTTAAGTATACATATATGTTGAATATAGAGATCGACTATTAGAACTGATTTATCATTATCCATTTGACCCGCAGGGACTATTTGATTAAACGTTAGGATTCAACGGCAATTCCCACATGTAACAGTTTAACAACGGCTGGTTTGTCAGACAAATCGACCACTACTACCTTATCTCTTGTGACAGTATTATTACATTAAACACGCTTTGAATGGATGGTGTATAATGTCAGTTACCGTACGTTTAAAAACTATTGTTCCCTGTAGACGACTAATTATTATTCTAGATCTGGCAACAAGTTGAAATATATTTCCAGCAATGTTGAAAGGTTTCGTCCTCTAAAAGTCAGACAAGCCTCTTATAGGCCTTTGAGGGTTGCTCTGAACGGAGTAGCTGGGAATTAAATGATGTTAAAGTAAATTTAGATAATAATCAAATTGCCTTTTACAGTTTAGTCTGTATGAAATTAAATAGATAAAGTAAAAGCTACGAGAATTGTGCCAGAAAATGTAATAGGGGTTTCCGCCATAATGGTTTCTATAAATTGATTTTCTGTCCGGAACTTTTGATTCTTTAGAGACGTTTCCTTCAAAATAATTATGATTTTGTTCATTTGACGTCTTGCTTTCTCAGTAGTAATAAATGTTATCGGATTCTTTTTGGTCAGATTCTGCTTTTAAAAGATTGGATTTGAAAATAGAATTGCCAACGCATCAGGAGAAACCTAAAAGGTCAAAAAAATAGTGTATATATGAATAGTCTCAATAAAATGTAAAAAAACTTATGATTCAACAAATTGCAACATTGATATTCTTGTTATATTAAAGAACCCCGTAGTCAACAAAATGTCGGATTTCCCCGGCCACATTGTTTATTTTTGTTAGTTAACTATTAAATTGTATGCATCAGTGCAGTTGCTACAAAGATCAGTAAGCCGTAAAGAATCTCTGCTTGCCGAGAATTTTATTCAGCCGTTCAATATTGGCAAACTGCATTATAAATTATGAACAAAGAAGAATAAAAAAATATACAAAAATCTATTCCAAACAATTTGTTTATTAAACACTATAACACTGGTTGGTTATTTTAGGTCAGTCACTCTAAATTTAATTAAACATTTTGATACATCCATATGTATTTTAATTTGTAACTTTATATATTTATAAGTTATTTCAGATATTTTAAGTTCATGTTTTAGCCTTGATTGTTTTTTTTTGGTGTCATCGGCTTCAATTGCTAAGGTTATTTCGCATCGTGTTCTGTGTAGGCTTTGTTACTGTTTCCCAGCGCCACTTTAGGAACAGCACTGTTAATTAGAACCCAAAAGTGAATGGTCGAGTGGGAAATCCTACCAAGGCATCAGAATTAATTTCAAATAATTAAATTAAATGAAAAAATTCCAGCCAACGGTGGGATTCGAACCTGGGACCCTTGGATCCACAGGCAGAGGCTCTACCACTAAGCCACCCCCTAATATTATTATTATACTCTTCACACAATAGTCTGTGGAGAATATTATAGTGCATGAGAATGCCTAAGCCGTCTCTGTAGAGTGCGACCTTGAAGCCTGCCACCCGACTCATGGTCGAAACACTGGAAAGAGATAAACGCATCGTTTCGAGAAGCTACTAGATAGATCCCTTCACGGTGTTTCGACGATGAGTCGGTTGGCAGGCTTCAAGGTCGCACTCTACAGAGACGGCTTAGGCATTCCCATGACATTAAAGATACTGATTCCAATCTCTCTGATGATGGTTTGAAACCACTTTTGACAGATATTTGCCGATGGTTTTAGTCATTCGCTCTACCATTCCATCGGATTGTGGGTGCAATGCTGT